CGTATAACCTTCGGTATAATGTATGCTATACGAAGTATTACGCCAGACCCGNACCGAGGCCACACCGCCGAGGGCGCCACCGAGGCCATCAATTGCCGAGTCTCCGGTCTCCGAGGGCGCCACCGAGGGCTCCACCGAGGCCGCTGCCGCCACGATGGGCGCCACCGAGGGCTCCACCGAGGCCGCTGCCGCCACGATGGGCGCCACCAAGGGCTCCACCGAGGCCGCCGCCGCCACGATGGGCGCCACCGAGGGCTCCACCGAGGCCGCTGCCGCCACGATGGGCGCCACCAAGGGCTCCACCGAGGCCGCTGCCGCCACGATGGGCGGTGCCGAGCCGGCTGTTCAGTACGTTAGGTCGACCGAGACGGGCAAAAAGCACGTCGTCCTCGTCCAGAGGCGTCACGGCGCAGCCTCGAAGATCGCCATCGGCGCCACTGGCGAAGAGGCGTGCTTCAAGTACCAACTCGGCCAGTGCGATATTGAGCGCTGCGACGTCAAAGACGCCGCGCACCGCTGCGCCGGCTGTACCGGAGCTCACCCTCTGTCCGTTTGCCCTGAGGTCTAGGATGACCAACATCACAGCCGCCCGCCGGCGATCTAGGGCGGCTCATGGATTCCCACTCTTCGTTTCGTTTGATCCCGCTGTTCACTCAAAAGAAAAACACACACACGCAAAAAAAAAGCCGCACGCAGCCCTGTACCACCACCGCATTGTACCACCACCACATTTGTACGACCACCCACATCTTCCGAATCCAAAAAGTCGCCGGCCGATTTGTGTGATTCACTAACTACTCGATCATGGTGCCGGGAGCCGAGAGGATCCTCGACTCTTCTCGGCGTCGATACGCCGCCACCCGCTTGGCGAGGCGGGGGTCCGGCTTGAGCGATCGGTGCGAGAGCTTGACGTTGCACGCGCTGGCGGGGCACACCTTTTCGCCCTTCCCGACGTACGAGAGGATGCTCTCGCGGTCGTAACTGTGTGGGCATCCGGTGCTGTTGCGCACGCGAGGCGAGCCAGACAAGGGACGGGGAGAGGATGAGCGAGGCGACGGGCGGGCGTCGAGAGCGAAGGATGCTCATGACAACGCACCTCGACACTGGATCGATGAGCAGCTTGGCAGAGTACGGGCACTTGTAGTCCTGCCGTGTTCCGCCGACTTGGATGTCATCATCATCGTCGTCCTCGTCGCCTTGCTCTGCGGATGGACGTTGGAGAGGCAGCGTGGCAGAGGCTCAGGAGGATGCCGACGGACGGTGGAGGAAGAACGGTGGCAGTGGGGTGGGGGCGAGGCTCACCTGCGGGCAGGAACTCGTTGATGGGGGGCATTGCGCTGTCCTCCACTGCAGCCTGTGGATCGTGGTGGACCGTCGTCAGGGCAAGGTGGCCGAGCGGTGGAGGAGATCAGCGGCGACGATCTGCGGATGCTCCCGTCCCGGCCACGTTGGACTCACCCAGGCGCTCTCGCGAAACGAGACGTACTCCTGGCTCTGGCCGTACTTTTTCCGCGTCGTCAAGGCGCTGTACGCCTCGAGCTGCTCGCACGTCAGGTTGCTGTACTCTGTGGCTGGATCGAGCTGTCGACGGTGGGGCAGAGCAAGCGATGGGATCAGCGAGGGGCCGCAGGGACCACAGGCCAGCCGACGGCACAGAACCACTGACCACGGTCGGTTCCCCCTCGAGGCGGCGGAGAAGGGCCTCGAGAGATGTCTTCCTCGTTTTGGCCTCGGCCTGCGCGTCGACCAGTTCGCGGTAGTCGGCGTCGAGCTGGACGAAGGCCTGGCGTTGGGGGCAGAGGGGGAGGGACATCGTCATCAGAGAGGAGCTACGTAGCTGGCGCTTGTTCGATGCGGTGTGATGAGTTGGCTCACCTCGTTGTCGATCGTCTCCTCAACCTCGCACAGGTCCGAGGTGGCCTCTTCCAGCGATGCCATGGCTTGGCGGATGGTGTCCTCGTGCGGCCCGTAGCCCGCGATCATCTGGCCGACTGCGGCCGCGGAGTCCCGGTCGAGCGGCTGCGGGCGATAATCGGCGGCTCGGACTCGTGGCTGCTGCCCTTGACCACTGCTGCCGCTTGCGGCTTGAGCTTCGTCGCCTCTGGCATGGGGTTGGCTGCGTGCCGCGGTGGCTCCACGATGTCGGCTGGTCGCAGGAGGTTGGTGCGAGGGGCGCTGCAGCACGTCGCCGCCATCCGTCTCGTCGTCATGGATTGGCTGCCTCCGTCTGGAGCTGCTGCTAGCCTGCATCATTGCTCCTTGTAGATGATCGAGGCGCTAGAAGTGAGCGGCCAGGGCGTGGGCGGGACGAGGAGCGATGGGGATGAAGGCAAGACGAGTAACTAGGTGGGCAGAAGACGAGGTGTTGGTGCCGACTGGACCCTGAGAGTTGTGCGGCTTCTGTGGGGCCGCTGCTGCAGCTCCGCGTCTTTTTCGCGCAGACAAGGAAGGCTCGAGGCCTTGAGGTGCGGCTGGTCTGAAAGGCCTGGCTGGCCTGGCGAAGACCGTGGGGTTAGTCCAACAAAGCTCGCGACTCGGAAGTCGGTGAGGACAGGCGACCGCCTGCCCGCTGCAGCCAAGAGGGAGATGGCCTTCCCCCCTGCGACCGGCCAGAAAAAAATTTGGCTGGCAGGTCCCTGCAACCCTCGAACTCAGCGCTCCCTCACCTCGGTCTCCCTTCCTCCCCACCCTGGGCCTATCCGTACCTTGAACACTTCTCTCCCGTCGCACTCCAACCGCACCTGCACTCTTTCGTCCCATCATCACCACTCCTTTTTGCTTCTGGCCAGTCGGTCCGCTGCCCCTGGACGTCGCTTCAGCAGCCTGCGCCCGTCTGCACGCCTGCGACCTGCCGCCGAACGTCCTACGCCATCGCCATCGCCCCAGCCCTAGACCGCCGAGCGACTGCCAGAGAACCCCAAGACCGACTGCCGGCAATGAAGTACATCGTCGTTAGCGGAGGTGTCATCTCGGGCATCGGCAAGGGCGTCATCGGTAGGTTCACCTCCTCTGCCCCGTCCTCGCCTCGCCGAGAAGCCGCGTCCCAGCGACCGAATGTCCGGCTCTTCTCGCCTGCGACTTTCTCCCCGCTTACACCGTGCCTTGCCTACGGCCACATGCCTGTACCACGCCCTCAGCCTCGTCGACGGGCCTTTTGCTCAAGACGCTCGGCCTGCGTGTGACCGCGATCAAGGTGGATCCTTACATGAACATTGACGCCGGCACTATGTCGCCCACCGAGCACGGCGAGGTCTATGTCCTCGACGACGGCGGCGAGGCCGACCTGGATCTCGGCAACTATGAGCGCTACCTCGACGTCACCCTCAGCCGCGAGAACAACATCACCACGGGCAAGATCTACCGCGAGGTTATTGAAAAGGAGCGCCGGGGCGACTACCTCGGCAAGACGGTCCAGATCGTCCCGCACCTCACCAACGCCATCCAGGACTGGATCGAGCGCGTCGCCCAGAGACCCATCGACGACAGTGGAGAGTCGCCCGACGTGTGCATCATCGAGCTCGGCGGCACCGTTGGCGACATCGAATCCGCCCCCTTCGTCGAGGCCATGCGCCAGTTTCAGTTCCGCGTCGGCCACGAAAACTTTGCCCTGATCCACGTCAGCCTCGTCCCCGTCATTGGCGGCGAGCAAAAGACGAAGCCCACCCAGGCTGCGATCCGTGACCTGCGTGGACTCGGTCTGGTGCCCGACATGATCGCCGCGCGCTGCGCCACCCCGCTCGACCGCTCCGTCATCAACAAACTGTCCATGTTCTGCCATGTTGGGCCCGAGCAGGTCATGGCAGTCCACGACGTCGGCTCCACCTACCACGTACCCCTCCTCCTCGAGCAGCAGGGCATGGTCAAGTTCTTTGAGAAGCGCCTCGGCCTCGACCTCAACGGCGGCATCTCGCCACAGATGCGCGAGCGCGGCCTCGACCTGCGCAACCGTTGGCGGGACCTCACCGTCGGTCACGATCGCCTCATCGACAAGGTCGAGATCGTCCTGGTCGGCAAGTACACGTCGCTTCACGACTCGTACATGTCAGTGGTCAAATCGCTCGAGCACGCTGCGCTGCGCTGCCACCGCAAACTCGAGCTGCACTGGGTCGAGTCGGGCGACCTCGAGCCGCACACCGAGAGCGAGAATCCGGTCAAGTACCACCAGGCTTGGCAGGCGCTGTGCTCAGCCAAGGGCATCCTCGTCCCCGGCGGCTTCGGCACCCGCGGCACCGAGGGCATGATCAGCGCGGCTCGCTGGGCGCGAGAAAAGCGCGTCCCGTACCTCGGCATCTGCCTCGGCTTCCAGATCGCCGTCATCGAGTTCGCACGCAACGTCTGCGGCATCGAGACGGCCGGCTCGGCTGAGCTGGAACCCGACTGCAAGGACCCGGTCATCGTCTACATGCCGGAGATCAGCAAGACTCACCTGGGCGGCACCATGAGGCTGGGCTTGCGGCCGTCCGTTTTCGGGCAAGGCACCGAGCAGTGGAGCAAGATACGCGCCCTGTACGGCAACCAGCCTATCGTCTGGGAGCGCCACCGTCAGCGCTATGAGGTCAATCCTGCCTACGTCGAGCGCATCGAGCGCGGCGACGCCGACTTGAGTGGCGCACCTCGCAGGGCCCAGGCGGTGCCCAGCTCGATCCCGCCCATGTCTCCCGATGGCAGCACGCGCGCCGGCAGCTGGTCTCGCACTTCGTCGCAGGCCGAGGTTCTGCTGCCCGAGCCGAACGAGATGCGCTTCGTCGGCCGCGACGAGAAGGGCGAGCGCATGCAAATCGCAGAGATCCGCGACCACCCATACTTTGTCGGCATGCAGGCGCATCCCGAGTTTGCATCGCGGCCGCTCAACCCATCGCCGCCCTTCCTCGGATTCGTCGCCGCCTCGGCCGGCCTGCTCGACGAGCAGATCGCCGTGCAGCGCAACTACCTGCCACCGCATCCAAAGAGCATGATGGTCTCCGAGGCCGAGCTGCTGCGGCGGCGCGACGCAGGTGAGAGCAGCCGCAAGCCTGCTTCGACGCCGCCCGGCGCCTCGACGCCGACGCGCAGCCGGAGCCTGAGCAACAGGCCAAAGGCGGACCTCGCCGCCGCTGCTCGGTTGGCTGCCGCGCAGCAGGCCGATGGCGCTCCCGCCGCCGTCGCGGAGCCGACACCTGAACAGTAGTACCAGCCTTGTTGTCCATTCTTCGACGTCATCCAAGATGCTTTTGATCGTCATTCCACGTCCGGTCCCTTCGTTGGCCTGGACATTCGCTGAGCCAGCCTTGTCGCAAGCAAGCGTGCCTGCTCAGTTTCGGCCCCAAAAGATGTGTTCGACCTGACCCCTCTTTGTTTGCTGAAAGCTCTCTAGCTAAAGGTCAGTTTCGCGCCACGGTCCTCGAACGTGAAGATCCGTCAAGTCCTAGAAGGCTTGTATCGCAGCAAGCATCACTTCGCTAATCCAACAAAAGGATAGGGGCTACCGGTCGGACAGAAACCATAATGTCTGCATGCGTGAACAGCCTCTACTCCAAGAAGCTGAAAGGAGGCAGGTAACACAAGCTAAGGTGAGCACATGTAAATGGCGCGGAGATGGGGCGAAAGAGTTGATTACGCTCAAGGCGCAAGCTAAGGGTACACGAGAGTCGACACGTAGATCGATAGAACGCGACGGGCACTACGTTGAGCGAATTCTTCTCCGCTCGAGACCCCGTTCACCCTGCCATCGGAGGAGAGGGACGGCGGGAGGGGTAATCAAACCTCAACCTCCATTCCACTAGCAGACCTCTTTCGGCTTGCCAACGGAGGGAGGGAAGACTTTTTTCACCCGGCAGATCTCTTTCGACCTGCCAAGGTCGGACCCCGATAGCAGACCTCTTTCGGAATGCTTTTCGGGGGGGGAAGGAGGGGGGGGATTTATTTT